CACCCGGCTAGTTTTTTGTATTTTTTAGTAGAGACGGGGTTTCACCGGGTTAGCCAGGATGGTCTCGATCTCCTGACCTTGTGATCCACCCGTCTCGGCCTCCCAAAGTGCTGGAATTACAGGCTTGAGCCACCGCGCCCGGCCGTATCTTACTCTTAAATATGTATGCACAGCCCAGGATTGCCTCTCATTTAAGGAAAGCTTCCGGCATGAAAGACAGAGACCAATGTAGGGAGAAGAAGAAAACAACATCAACACCCAATTTATATTCTCAAAAAAGAAAAATAACAAAATGTAGAGGAAAAAGAAAAGAGAAATATACAGAAAATTAAGAGTTCATGGAAATTAAAAATTTAATATAAGTGTTAGGAGATAAAATTGAGGAAAATCCCAGAAGATAGAGCTAAAACACAAGAGATGTAAAAATGCACAAGGAAAAAGAAAACAGAGTAAAGGAAAATCAGTCTAGGAAGACCAGTGTCTGAATAATAAGTATATAAGAAAGAGAATGCAAAGACATGGAAGGAAGATTATTGTAAGAAAACTTCCCAGAACTGAAGGACATACATCTCTAAGTTTAAAAGACTTGACAGTTATCAGTTTATGCAGTTAAAAAAAAGAAAAGACCAACCCCAAGGCACAACATTGTAAAATTTCAGAACACATTAAGACAAGCTTCTGTGATTCCAGATGGGCATATATAGTTGACCATGAAGGATTATGGGTCAGATTGGTACTAGGCTTCTTAACACTGGAAGCCAGAAAACAATAAGGAAAGGCCTTCAAAATATTGACAGAACATGATTTCCTGCCCAGAACTCTGTACTGAGCCAAACTCAGTAGTAAGGGTAAATGAAGATTTTAAAAATACAACGCAAGGAATAAAAACATCGTGCCCCCTTTCTCAGAAAGCTGCTGGAGGAAATACCCCACAAAAAAAGAGAAAACCGAGAAAGGGGAAGTAGTGGGATAAGGAAACGGGATCCAGTATAAAAGAGAGACAAGGGAATTCCCGGGATAAGCTAAAGGGAAATTCCATGACCATAATTGTGTACCAGGCCTAGAGAGCCTACAGTCCAAATTGGAACACGGTGGAGGGCTACAGGAAAGAAATTAAAACTGATTTACCTGATATATTTGAATATATTGAGAAGAAAGTTAATACTTTTAGCTGTTTGCAGATGAATTAGCAGTAGGTACCTAGAAACCTAAGCAAATGGAAAAATCGTGTAATTATTAACTGTAAGGAAAGGAAAGTTATACAGAAAAGGAAGAGTAATCATGATGTACTTTTGACTCAGCTGTGAATATTATTTACAGCCATAGTAATAATGTAAGTACTGACAATTGGTTCAACCAAAAATTATGATAGAAAGATGAGGGAGAAAAGATGTAACAGAACTAAACCATTGTATTTTATAATAGAAAGTCAGTAAAGTCCTCAAAGAAAAAATTAAACAGCTGCATAGACCTACTACATAGAATATAGAGAAAAAAATGCCAGAAGAACTAGCTAAAAAGACTTGAAAGTGGTTGCCTCAGGGATTTGAAAATTGTGGGGTATGTTAAAGGGGGAAGGAACTGCTGTTTTTCTTGTACAACTGTTTGGTTTTTTAAATTGTGTTCATGTCTGTCAGATTAAAAAAATTAGTTTTAAGAGGTTGCTCCTTACAGAATGCTCTTGTGTTCAAAATATATACCGTTCTGAGGCATTCTAAATCCCCTAGGATTCTGAGAACTCTATCAATTGCGGACGTAGAGTCAGCAGAATGCTATGAAATTGCTGAGGAAGTAATGATTTCTAATAGTACTAGTGGTTGATGTAATCCTTACTTGTAAATATTCATTTTGTTGTAGTGCTAACAAATGGAGATTTTTAAACACCTTAAATAAATTCAGATTAAAATATATTTCATTTCAACATCTCAAATGTATTAGTGTTTAGTTTTCTTCAGTGTTGTCAACACTTTTCATTGTGAATTGACTGCTTTATGCTTCTTTGCAGCTTTTCTGTTGAAAGATGCTTCAGCGTTTCCCGCCCGCTTCTTTTATTTCATTTTTAAAAATACTGCATGCTTATCACAGTCCTTAAGAGTATGCAACAGCTGTTCCAATAATAGCAATAGATACCACCTGATTTTTCATTATACCTGATTATAGGTTGCAATGGTTAATTTGAATCCACACACATTCTTTTCTTATCTTAATCACCTGTTTTTAAAAGCCAAAATGTTGAAGCTTGAAATGGAGATTGAGTTACATAAATGGAGATTGAGTTAAATAAATTAATCTTCAAATAGGTTTTTCTGTTTTCCAGTTAAAAGGCATGTGGTTCGTGTCCTCTTAAAGTCAGCATACTATAGCGTGAAAGAAAGCACAGTAGGAGTAGAACCAGTTGCATGACATTCAACAAGTTTCTTCACCTAAGTCTTATTTTCCCACCTGAAAAGCGAGAACAGTACCTGCCTGATAATTATGACAATTGATGATGAATCCTGTAAAAAAACCAAAAACACCCAGTTACTCAGGAGACCGAGGCAGGATCACCTGAGCCTAGACGTTTGAACAGTCTGGGCAACATAGCAAGATCCTGTCTCTTAACAAACAAAACTAAAAAGCTTGGCTTGCTGATCGCAGCTACTATTTGAGTACCTACTATGTACCAAGTATTGTTATTACTGCTGCTATGCTTTGTTTCAGAGAGAGAAAAAATATAATTGAGGGGCTCTCAAGTTTATTGTTGTGTCATAAGCTTTTTTTGGATCGTCAAGCAAGAGATTATATGAGAAATGTCAACATATTCTTCTACAAAAATAGGAAAATAATATATCTGCATTGCATCTAAATCTTTGTAGCTGTAGAATAAAGTCAAAAGCTGCCGTCAATGCAGAGTTTACAGTAGTCACTGAGTTTTGCTGGTTTGTTTTTGATTTAGGATAATGGAGTTGAAATAGTTCTCTTTAAAATTTGTACCTTTTTCCCCTGTAAAATGCAGTACATTTGACCCATGCCAACTTAAATTTATTTTTAACCTCTAATCCTTGAAGTTTCATGTTATTTATTTAAAAGCAGTTTACTTATTAATAGTACATTTCTGTTTGAAGTCCCTGTTCCTTTTTAAATAATAAAAGTCTTTAGAAGTATTTTGTACTCTTTTGGTGAGTAGGGAGAAATTGATATCCTGCTGATATTATAGTTAGTAATTATTTACAATCTTTGATAACATCTAAAAAGAGAAACATTTCTAAGATTTGGGTAGCATTTGTTTTTAAGGTTTACATTATATCTTTGTATGCCTCTACAGAACATGAATTTGAGCGTTCATTTGGATAAGTTATCACTCTAGATGCTACCTCCCACCCTTTCTTCTGGTCTCCTTTCTTGTTTGTTCATTTGTTTGTTCATTCATTCATTCATTGTGCAGGCATTTGAAGAGTTTCCACTATAAGGCCCTAGTCTTAGAAGCTGAGGGTAATGTGGTTGTGTACCATGGAGAACCCTGGGTTGGTTATAGAATCACTTGTATAAACAGAAAATTACAGTAAAGCAAGATAAATGCTAAAATACAGATACGAAAAGTGGCCAGTAAAAATAGAGTAAAAATCATCCTACCAGGTCTAATGGGCAAAGGCTAACAAAAGCTGAACCTTGAGGAAAGAGTTTTCCAAGCCAGAGAAGTAGAGGAAGGACTTGTATTTCTTTGATTAACCAGCTGTGTTGCTTATAAAGCTCTTTATATACTTTTCTCCTCAGTATTTTAGTTTTTGCTTAATAGTTTTGCCACTTACAAAGAATTGGCTGGTGTCATCATCGTGAGTGGTGGTGAGTTAGGGAAGGCAGCATAGCTTTTGTGTATTTGGTATGAGGTGAAGGAATCAGTTGGGGAAATAGCAAATGGTAAGCTTACATGTGTCTTTTTATCCTAATACTCCCTGTCAGTGGTGATGCAGTCTTTTAGGATTCTGCTAATAGCTGTGTGATCTTGGGGTAAGTGATTTCTTCTCTTTGGATTCCATTTTCCACCACTTTAAAATGGGAGGATTGGTATTAGATGGGCATTTCCTATTAGTAGGTGGGGAAAAAGGAGAAACAGTGACCAAATAAGTTTGTGAACATAGGTAAACAAAGTTAAATAGATTTCTTTACTGCAGCCTCATACATTATGGCATATGAATTGGATTGCTGGACTTCTAACTTGGCCATGCAAGTTAAGTGAGAGTCAGTAATATGAGTCCAGCTCTGTCTTTTTCCTAATGGTTTAGTGGAAAGAGCATGGGCTTTAGAATCAGACATATCTGGGTTTGAATCCTGAGTACTCCTTAGTAGCTTTATGGCTTTATAAATTATCTAACCTTTCTGAACTTGTCTCCTCATATGTAAATCAGGCAGGATAATGCCCTGGGGAGTTGTAAAGATTATGACATTCCATATGAAAATATCAAATCGAGTATCTGATATATAATTGGTCACAAAAGGTATAACTTAAGTCTACAAATTCCAGAGTTAGTATAGAATGTAACACTTGATAATAGCTATTGATATCCTGGCTACATCTGGTGTTTGAGGTGGACTGTTTGTTGTTTCATATATACTTATAATTTTCCCCAAGAAAACAAAATATTCTTGAGGGCACATCATTATGTTTTACCGTCTACATAGCATTCGACATTCTCCTGGAGACTCAATAAGTGCTTGATAAATACCTGACAGTTTCATCAAAACAGTGGAATAAAGTGAGGTGTGGTTTTCCCTGGTGTATAGTTTATCCTATATCTCTTATAACCAAGGGTAGAAGTCAATTTATGAATAATAATTTTAAATTTTTTTGGTTACTTATGTTAAATGATTAAATTTGAAGTTTGAAATAATTAGGATTATAAGTGAACTGGCATTTATTTACTTAAGTAAACCATAGGAAGGGGGTTATAATAAAGTGTCATTTAATAGTGTAAATTATGTTATTGGAATACTAATGTTTTACATTTTGTTTTTTCTCTAAGCAAATGGTTATGAGCCTTAGAGTTTCTGAACTCCAAGTACTGTTGGGCTACGCTGGGAGGAACAAGCACGGACGCAAACACGAACTTCTCACAAAAGCCCTGCATTTGCTAAAGGCTGGCTGTAGTCCTGCTGTACAAATGAAAATTAAGGAACTCTATAGGCGGCGGTTCCCGCAGAAAATCATGACGCCTGCAGACTTGTCCATCCCCAACGTACATTCAAGTCCTATGCCAGCAACTTTGTCTCCATCTACCATTCCACAGCTCACTTACGATGGTCACCCTGCATCATCGCCATTACTCCCTGTTTCTCTTCTGGGACCTAAACATGAACTGGAACTCCCACATCTTACATCAGCTCTTCACCCAGTCCATCCGGATATAAAACTTCAAAAATTACCGTTTTATGATTTACTGGATGAACTGATAAAACCCACCAGTCTAGGTAAGATTATTGTATGATGGTATTTGGTTACTTTTGCAGGATGAATTTTCATTTTAGACTTTTACTTTGACCCAGTTTATTATTCATAATGAAATTTTCATTTGATAGTAACAGCTGGATAATAATGAAGATCTTTCAAATTTAGATAAAATCAAATATATAAAAGCTATCTTTCAGAGGAAAAAAGGTAGTATATTGATGGTTACTGACACAGTAAATATTAAAAAGTTTCAAGAATATAAACTTCCAAAGAGGAGTCTTTTAGAAGATTGATTACTATTTTACAATATCTCTTATAAATTAGAAAATTAAAAGCGAGTAAGTCACTACAAGTCTCTGATTAGTTCTTAATTTTCAGGGATTGATGATCTCTAAAACAAGTCACTTACTAGTTTTGATTATTTAAATGAGTGAATGGTTTTAATGATTGTAAAAGGAGACTTGAGCTTTGATGTGTGTGGTAGTTAAATTTCAGCTGATTTTTTTCAAGTGGAGAAGTGCATGCTTTATAAGCATGCACATGCACACTCTTGATTACAGTTATATAATATAAATGCTTGAAATTTATTTTGCTGTGTTGTTACATCATTTGATTTGTAGTCTAGCATATAGAATTCAATATATTAACTTGTAATTTTAATTGGTATAATGCTACCTTATTTACTTAATGTAGAATAAAACTCAACTGTTGTGACCTCTGACGCCTTTGGTGTAATATATTTAAAATATCAGACTTCTAAATGCTGGTTTGTTGGCATACTATGGCTGGCAAGCTAAATCCAGTCTGTGACCTGTTTTTGTGTGATTCTGAGCTAAGAAATCTGAAAAATATTCCTAAAGAGTTATTAAAAAAAAAAAAAAGAAAGAAAAACAAAGAATATGTACAGAGACCATCTGTGCCCGCAAAGCGCAAAATATTTACCCGTATAGTGAAAGCTTGTGAATCCCTGTTACAAATCATTGAATGTTTCAGTTTGGGGGATTGGCAAGTGTTGAGAACATTTTTTGCGAATTTTTGAGAACATTTTGAAAATGTTTTACTGAAATTCTATCTTTGAAATATGAGGTGTTTGTTCTTAATTATATGTAGCAGAATTTACCTGAGTACATGAAGATTATAGGAATCATTTGAAACAACATGAGTTTTGTATCACATTATTTCATTTTTTAAGTGGCCATAATAAGAAAACATTTTTTGAGAATCTACTGTATGCTTATAAAACTGATACATGCTCATTGTAAAAAATGGAATTGCCAAAGTCCCTTCCTTGTTAGCTGTTTAGTGTGTATGCATATATAGTACAAGCAAGTTGTTTCTTGTTTTTTTACAGAAGGAATCATATACATAGTATTGTTTAACTTCCCTTTTTTCCCCTTAATAATATATCATAAGCATCTTTTCTTGTCTGTCTGATATATATATCTATCTATCTCCCATTTTAAATTAAAGGCCATATCTGTATCTATCTATATATCTCTATATATGGTCTGTATGTGTACATATATGTATGTGTACATATGTGTTATGTATTGATCAGTTGATGAAAACGTTGTGACCAGGGGCTTGCAGGAACTTAACCTTATACTTCCCCTAGTAGCAGCAATTATATATTCACAAATTCAGTGTTTGTGGTGATTTTATAGAACATAACTGTCACAAATAACAATAATTGACGGATAATTTGATTTGAATGCCAGTTTCCATGAATAAATCTGCTGTTTGTGGTATGTATTCACAGAAAGTCACCAAATGAATAGGTGGTGTAGAATTGCTTAGTGGTATGTAAATAGATTTTCAGTATCTCATTGTTATAGAATTAAAAACAGACCAATTTGAATATGCATAAAAAGATCTCACCAGAAAGTAATCTGTGGAAGTTTATTGGCTCAATAAATATTTGTTGCAGGGGAATGCTTAGTGAATGTGAAAAATATTTATTGAAAAAAGATTTTATGTAATTAGTCTTCAGGGTTTATTTAGACTGAGTATATTTTAAGGCTCTGTTTTTACAGATTCTTTAACATTATTAAGACTTTTTCTGTAAATGAAGTGGCTACATTTGTCACAGAACTTAGTTTCCTAAATGATTATTTTTGCCAGTGGTTCATTTGTTTTAAATCTTTTAGAAAACCATGTTTTCTGAAAAATTTAATAGCTTCCAGCATTCTCTTTCTTTCTAAACATACATACATTTAAAATCAAGTTTTTAAGAACATAGTTTCGAACACCAGCTGGCTAGTTGATCACAGCTATCACTGAGTCCAGAATGGGACAGGCACATTTAGTTTTTCATTTTTTCCCTTCTGTTGTGGTCTTAAGCACCAGATTTAAAGAAATTTTAAGATGTTCAAATGTAAACTGAATGTTTTCATGCATGGTTTGTATTTCTAACTAAAATGGAAACAGTAGTTCTGATAATTCCAATTTTTTTAGATAATTCTCGTTCATTCTTACAATCATTTTGTTATTTCTTTAAATCAATTAAAAATAATTCTAAGGCCTTTATTTTAGAGCCATAATTAAAGTATTCTTTTCATTGTCCATAATTAACTGTAAGAATTGAGAGGTGAAGTAAAAGGTTGTTGTAAAGTAAGATATTTAATTTATTGTTTACTTTTGCCTGTCATTATCTCAATTCTGTTTTTTTCTATGAGGCTTATTTCAGATGCTCTTTTTCTTTAACCTTTTTCATTTATCTTTCTAGGCTTTCCTCCTTTCATCTGTATATTTCTTCCACAGCCAGAATCAATTTCACTTTCTCCACATGCTCTCATAACATTTATTTTTTATTTTTATTTTTAATTTTTTGAAACAGAGCCCCACTCTGTAGCCCAGGCTGGAGTGCAGTGGCACAATCTGGGCTCACTGCAACCTCCGCCCCACTGGGTTCAAGCGATTCTCATGCCTCATCCTCCCATGTGGCTGGGACGTACAGGCACGTGCTACCATGCCCAGCTAATTTTTTATTTTTAGTAGAGATAGGGTTTCACCATGCTGGCCAGGCTGGTCTTGAACTCCTTAGTTGATCCGCCCACCTCTGCCTCCCAAAGTTCTAGGATTACAGGTGTGAGCCACTGCTCCCGGCCTCATAACATTTATTTTTAAAATTTTATTTTATTTTATTTTATTTTATTTTATTTTATTTTATTTTATTTTATTTTATTATTTGAGACAGGGTCTTGCTCTGTTGCCCAGGCTGGAGCACAGTGGTGCAATCTCAGCTCACTGCAACCTCTGTCTTTCGGGCTGAAACAATTCTCGCACCTCAGCCTCCCCGGTAGCTGAGACTACAGACGTGTGCCACTATACCTGGCTAATTTTAGTATATTTAGTAGAGACAGGGTCTCATCGTGTCGCCCAGGCTGGTCTTGAACTCCTAGACTCAAGTGATCTTCTCACCTTGGCCTCATTCTCACCACACCCAACTTGAATATTTTATTATCATTATTTATTTGTTTGTTTGTTTGTTTATTTATTTTTTGAGACAGATCTCGCTCTGTCACCCAGGCTAGAATGCGGTGGTGAGATCTTGGTTTGCTGTGGCCTTAACCTCCCAGGCTCATGCAGTTTTCCCACCTTAGCCTCCCAAGTAGTTGAGACCACAGGTGTGTGCCACCACACCTGGCTAATTTTTGTTTTTATTTTTTGTAGAGATGAGGTCTCATCATGTTGCCCAGTCTGTCATAACACTTAATTTACCTCTTATTAAGTGTTTTTGTTTTGTTAAAAATGATAAGGCTTCTGAGGCATTTATCTATAAATCCCCATAATAGCTAGATATGAACCTGTTACATGGTTGTTGTTCAGTAAACATTTATTAGCTCTTCAACTAGTTTTAATGCAATAGATGGAATCTTTTATTTCATTTTAATTCAGTGGATTTTAACCATTTTACCTTGCAAACACAGCTGAGCCATACCACACTGTCTCATTACAAACAGTGGCTATGATAGGGATGGGAAATAGAGTAGGGAAAAATGGTATTCTTCCTCTTATTGCCCTATCCTGTCATCTGTTAGGTTAATTGATGTCTTTGAAATTTAATATACTTAATTACAATTTTTTTCTGCTAATTACAAAAATGTCGTGTTTGATGTAGAATCCACAGAAATTATGTGCTTACTTTACAGATAAACTTTAAAAATACTTCTGTGGTGTTCCATTTGTTAGTCATTTATGGGTGTGTGTGTGTGTGTGTGTGTGTGTATTTCTGGATTCATTTTGAAGGAGAGGAGACCCTCACTAGCTTATTTAACCCGGCAGCTGCATATATGAGGGATCCATATAAATAATGGAAGAAAATTTTAATTTTGATAGTATGTTGAGCACCAGTGTTAAGGGGTTTTTTGAAATACCTTATTGCTTAGTGTGCCAATATTGGTGTTGATGAGCTATGAAATGTACATAATTATGAAAATATAAAGGAAAAATAATTTTGGATTAAAATATCTTGTCCATTCAGGGACAAGATAATTATTTGTTATTTCCTCTCAATCTTTTAATAATACCTAATCATTCAAAATAGTTTATAATATTGTTTATAGCTATTGTTTAAATTGGCTTTGTTAGAACATAATGGCAAAAACAGAATACTTTCATGGTGAACAAAATAATAGTTCTTTAGGATACAGTATTTGATTTGAATCAGACTTAAGTATAAACAAATCTATTAATAGATTTATATTTGTTACTCGTTTAGCTATTTATATCTTCCTTGACTCAGGTAAATTTTCAAATAGAAAATACATTTTTAACATAGTGCTTTTAAATATTTTAAATATTTTTACTTATTTCAAAGGCCAACATGTATAGAACAGACAGCTTTGCATTCATTCATTTGGTCTACAGATACTACTCTGGTTATGTCCTAGTAAATCCATCATAAATTGAAAATATCGTAAGACAGAAATGCACTTAATACACTTAACCTACCAAACATGATGGGTTAGCTTAACTTACCTTAAATGTGCCTAAAACACTTACATTAGCCGACATAACA